ATATATATATATATATATATATATATATATATGAGGATAAGCTGTATTAATTCATGATGTCTCAAAAAATTTAGCATTAAACCCTTTATCCAGGTTTGTATTTACTGATGTATGTGTTTTTGGCTGACATTGTGTACATGCTTTTGAATATTTTAAAATATCAAGATAACGTAGCCTTGAACCAAACAATATTTTCTTTTTTTTCTTTTATTGAGTTTATTGGCACATGTGAGGTATACGGTACAATTACAGTAATATTTTCAAAATAATTTCATGTTGATTTCTTCTTGGATCTCTCCTAAACTAAACTTGACAAACACAGTGTAAATATGCAATTTAGAAAATTAACTATTATTATTGTCTACATATGTGACCTTTAATGAATACAGTACACATATTTTAAAAGTAAACACTTGGTAATATTTGCCTCAAAACTAATATTTTAGATGAATTAAATTGCCACCTATGAAATTTGAGTTTTTGGTATTGATCCATTATTCCATTCTTCTGCATATGTACTCTACTAAATAAACATTCATTTGTCTGTCTATCTATCTATCACTATCTAATTTGTGCACCCACAGCAGTTTTATAGAATTTTTACCTACAAAGTGCTTATAGCTTATGTACCTAGTCTACAACATTAAATCATCTAGCTCAGTGTACTATATTAAAATAAGAAGTGATTTTAAATCTCTCTGAGGATTACATACTGCTAAAGCTTTACCTGGTACACAGCCTTACCCAATGCACGAATATCATTTAACAAGTTTGTTATAATATTTTCTAATCTTTCCATTTATTTCCATATCCCACAAATGAAAATGTCTGGCTAGTATATCAATGGGACTAGTGATATAAATCAAAACAGGCCAGGCATGTTTTATTTTACTAATTTTGCAACTATATTTTTTCTGAAATAAAACCATCCCATTCAAATTCAAGCTATTACTGTTAATGTACTCTATCAAAAATATCCTGATATATACCTAGTAATAATCTTTGCATATTGTTAGGAAATCCCATGCTGTGTAGAGCATAATATTTCTATTTACCGCCACAGCACAGACAGTTGGAGATGCATGAAATCGACAGTGATGTCTCTGAGACTGACCTGCTACCATGTGCAGAGTGCGTATACATCCTGCCCCTCTAGGTGCTTGTGGTGCGTCAGAGACGCTGGGGAAATCTCATCTATCTCCACAGTCTGTGTAGCACCTAAGGAATGTTTGGAAATTAATAAAATGTTGTCAGAGCATCATTTCTTCAAACAAACAATTCCATTGTTATAAAAACAGTATCTTATTAATGAAAACAGTTTCAACAGCTGGTGCAGCCTAGAAGGATGTGACTGCCAGGTGTGAACCATATCAAGCATAAAGGGTACTTTTCATTCTGCATCTTGTTATTTTCTTTTCATTTTAAAAAATTTTTTGAAGTAAATAAAAACATCGTATAACCCAGAAAAATAATCTTTGAAATTCAAAAGAATTTTATGGCATATATCTACAAGTTGTCCTGCTTTTCTACAATTTGACTATTCATACAACAATGATAATTATTAGTAAATTGGTCATACATAACAATTGCATTTATCAGAGGGAGCTGGTACATATACACATTGCATCTTTTTTTTATTTTTACTTTCTCTTCTCAGTCCTCTTTTATTTTCTCCAAATCCTGTTCCCAACCACGCAAAGTCTACTCCCTGAGTTCTAACATCACTTATTCTTTTTTATGCCCACAAATATCTCCAATAGAAATCTGAATAACTGAAAAGTGTAAATGTCGTTTGATAAAATGCTATGGCTCTTTTGTTCGTGATGAAGACATAATCAAGAGCTGTTATTTCTCATCTCTTGTTCTGTTGGACACACTTTAAAAGGATAAAAGTACAGATAGGAAATCACCAAGTATGTGTGAAGAGCATAAAAAAAGTGACATTTAAAAAAAAAGATATCAGAAGTTTCTATTTTTGATACATTCTCTATGCCAAATATGACAGTTAGTCATTTCTCTACAAATTTACAGCACATACTTATGTAAAAAAATAAATTTACTATTAGAAAAGTAGGAAAATATTTACTTGAATTACAGAATATTTTATTTGAATGATTAATAAAGTGGCATTATGACTAATAATAATACTATCTAAATTATATTTTATCCTTATTTTATGCATTTATCATAGTAAACACACAGGAAGCACCAAATAATCTGTTTATTTCTTATTCAGGTCAGTTGAATAAGCTACAGACAAGCTCATGACAACTATATGTCATAGAGATACTAACAATGTGTCACAGGTCACAGAAATCATGAGGCCATAATATTAAGTAAAATAAATCCGACACATGAGCTTAAATATTGCCTTGTTTCTCTTATATGAGAAACCCAATTCAAAAGTAAAGGGCAAACCAAGAAATGGAGGAAGGGGGAGAAGGGAAAGGAAGGGGACAAAATAGTAATTGAGATGTGTTGTGTGCATGAGACAACTCCCTACAAGAAATGCAATCCTTATGTACTGCAAACATGACTTTAAAAATATTAGTTATCAGGCCGAGAATCCAATGCACTAACCTTCTTCACTGTTTTCTAGCCATGAGAAAAATTTAAACCAAAGTCTGCAAGTATAAACCACAGGCACATCTGAAGTAAATTGTTTAAACTGGCAAATTACTTCAACACAAATGAAATTAATATCTGACTGTATATCTGTTTTTTGTCTCAGTGGGCATATCACAAACATTTCAGAAGATATGAACTATGGAAAGTATACAGTAGATGGGGTAAGATGAAAATGTGCACTGAATGATCATCACTTTCCTGCTCGTTCTGTGATCAAAGACTGTAATCCACAACTGCCCTTCTCATGCTGAGTAAAGGAGGCAACACACATTGCTCCATCCTGTAATCAACCAGGAAACCCCAAAGAAGAGCATGGAGAACAAAGAGTGTCCTCGTGGTGTGACAAGGAGGAGATGTCTGGGGCTGTGAAGAAAACAGACTGCTAGCATTGTCATGAATGCCCTGTGTGTGTGTTCAGACAGGCCAATCCAAACATCTCTTCCCTCTTTTCACCCAATAACCTGATTGTAGTTACATACAACTTGAGCTCTCCTCCCTTTTCTGGAAAAATGATTTTTGATTGGTGGATAACTGTATTTATGAAATAAAATAAACTGAAACAAGTAATGGAACACATAGCTCAGGTCCAGGAATTTAAGACTCCATGAAATATAGCTCGTGATATTGGGCTTACCCTCTTCCTCCTCTTTATCTTCATCCTCTTCACAATCCTTTGGAATGGAAAGGAACAGTGCAGAGGGGCTCAGTATAACCTTTTGTGGGTGAGATGTCTATGAAATGCAATACATGTAGGAAGAAAGCAAAAGTGAATGAGTTTTTTGTGAGCCTCAATAGAACATAGGACAGAAATACACTCTGCATAGCTGAAAGAGTTTCTGTTAGTGTCCCTTCATCAGTCCAACACTGTCCAGTTAGTCTTGATGAAGGGAAACATTTCTGATAGTCATTTCTCCCTCCACTCTTACTGGATAAAGCTGCTTCTGTGTGAGGTCATGGCCCTTGGATGCAGAT